TGTGGGGCCCATGAAGGTAAAGGGAGATGTTGGGGCCCTGTATTCCATGACTATGGTTGATGATTACACAAGGCTCACCTGGTCGTTTCCACTTGCAAAGAAGAGTGATGCTGCAAGGGTCATCATTGAAGAGTGGCTGCCCATGGTGGAGCGAGAGAGCGGCAAGCGGGTGAAGGCGATTCGTAGCGACCGTGGTGGGGAGTTTTTGGGAGCGGAGTTCCGGAGCTGGTTGAAGCGGCACGGCATCAAGCAGCAGCTCACCACGGCCTACAGCCCTCAGTCCAACGGCGTGGCAGAGAGAGCGAACCGGACCATCATAGAGGGCGGGAGAACGAGATTGGTGGACTCGGGTCTACCCTTGCGGTTCTGGCCCCTCGCTATTCGTCATGCTACCGTCATCAAGAACCAGGTGTTGACTCATGTGGGAGGTCAGCATTGGGTCCCTATGGAGAAGTGGAGTGGCAAGAAGCCCCTGGTGGATATGCTTCGTGTCTTCGGGTGCATGGGGCTCGTGCATGTCCCTAAGGAGAAGCGTGACAAGCTTCAAGCGGCGGCGGTGTGGGCTGTTCATTTGGGTCTTGCACGGGGGAGCAAGAGCTGGCTCATGTGGGACCCAAAATCCAACACTGTCTTCACCACCAGAGATGCCAAGTTCATGGAGGGGCTCATGTTCAAGGAGTGGTCGGAGCGGGGGAGGAGCAAGGTCACCATTCCGCTTGGAATAGAGGTGGGAACCAACGACCCACTTCTCATTCCCATCGAGTTCTCCTCATCTTCAGAGTTGACAGATGTGTCACGTGACTTGGGAGGTGCTGAAGGGGAGGCAGCAGATGTGGAAGAAGTACTGCAGCAAGGGGAGGCCCCTGTAGCTGACAGAGGTGATACCGAGGAGGAGGTGCAGCAGCCTATACCATCCCCTAAGCTTCCACCAAGGCGCACAACCCAAGGGAAGCGTGATGCTGTCCGTGGTGGAGCCAAGGAAGGAGCAGCCAAGGAGAGGCCCAAGAGAGCTGCCCACCCAAGGGATTTCCTCAAGTATGAAAGGCATTGCTGGTCCAGGAGGAGGAAGATGAGGAGGAGAAGGGAGCCGAGGGGTAGATGGAGCAGATTTGTTGCTTTGGCGTCAACTTACCTCATGAGCCGGCGTCAATGGAGGAAGCTCTCGCTGGAGATGATCGAGAGGCATGGCTGGCTTCAAGGGAGGATGAGTTCCAGAGCCACATGGAGAATGAAACGTGGACCCTTACTAATCTTCCCCCAGGAAGGAAGGCATTGGACTGCACGTGGGTGTTACGTGTGAAGACCGATGCGGAGGGGAGGTTGGAGAGGCGCAAGACAAGGCTTGTGATCAAAGGCTTTCAGCAGAGGGAGGGGATTGACTTTCAAGAGGTGTTTGCTCCTGTTGCCAAGGCTCCTACGCTCCGGTTGTTGCTAGCAGCCGCTGCCGTTTGTGGCTGGAAGGTGGAGCAAATTGATGTGAAGACGGCGTTCCTCTATGGCGTGGTAGATGAGGAGATCTACATGAAGCAGCCAGAGGGGTATGACGATGGGAGCGGACGTGTTTTCAGGCTCAACAAGGCCATCTATGGCCTCAAACAAGCTCCAAGGTGCTGGTATGCAAGGCTGGTGGAGGCATTGGAGGCCCTTGACTTCAAAGTTAGTGGGTGCGACGAGAGTCTCTTCATGACCGAGGGGGAGGAGGAGAAGGTATTTCTCCTTGTCTACGTCGATGACATCCTCCTCTTCTATCCATCCCTGGAGAGGATCAAGGAGGTGCAAGGGAAGCTGAAGGAGACATTTCAATGCAAGGCCCTTGGACCAGTGGGGTATTACCTTGGTCTTCACGTGGAGCGGGACGAGGTGAAGGGATGGTTGAGGCTTCACCAACACAAGTACCTTGCAGTGATGGGGGAGAAGTATGGGCTGGAGGAAGGGAGGAGTGTGAAGACTCCTCTACCCTCAGGGTTTCAGCTACACCTTGATGAAGAGGAGGGTGAGGTGTTGGAGTACGAGTTGCAGCGTCGGTTCCAGTCAATGGTGGGGAGCTTGATGTACGCTTCGGTCAACACTCGCCCCGACATTGCATTTTCAGTTTCACAGCTCGCTCGTGTAGTGTCTAGGCCCCTTGAAGAGCACCAGGATGCAGGAGAGAGGCTGGTGAGGTACTGCATGGCAACCTCAAGGGTGGGGCTGCAATATTCAGTGCATGGGCAGCTGAAGCAAAAGGGAGTGGAGGAGGTGAGCACAAAGACTGGTGCACCTGCAAGGCGTGGGCACTTGTACCTCTCGTGTTTCACCGATGCTACCTGGGCAAGTGACATCAGTGATGCTACATCCCATGGTGGCTATATATGCTGTGTTGGAGGGATTCCAGTGAGCTGGAAGTCTAAAAAGCAAGGAGAGATAGCTCACTCATCAACGGAGAGCGAGTACATGGCGTTGTTTCATGGAGTGAAGGAGGTGGTTTGGATGAGGAGGTTGCTTGAGGAGTTGGGGCAGGAGCAAGAGGGTCCTACACCTGTGTTTTGTGACAGCCAAGGAGCAATTGCAATGGCGCGTAATGCTGTGCTCCATGGGCTGAACAAGCACATGCATATCAAGTGGCATTGGGTGAGGAAGGAGGTGAAGAAGGGCACCATCTCCTTGCACTACATCAACACTACCAAGCAACCTGCGGATTTCTTGACTAAGCGGCTTGCAGAGCATCAGCATTGGAGCTGCGCCACCTTGTGTGGCATGTCCTTCAACTAAGGGAGGCATCTTCAGGGAGCAGCTAAGGGATGAATGAGAGCACGATGAGGGGGAGTTTGTTGTGCCAAAGCACTATAGTGGCACAGTCATCGCACTCCCATTCAACCTACAAGCCTTCTCAGCTTCTGTAATTTTGTGGGGAGGTGCTTCAACATGTGTTCTTTACACCCTCAAAGTTTCAAAAGTTTTGAAGCAGTTTACAAGGCATGGCAACATTTTTAGTTTCAAGACCTATGGCATCCCGGAAGTGTGTGTTACTCTTTTTTGGAAACACCCGAGTTCACCATTTCGGCTGCTGACTCATCTACCAAGCTCTGACTGGTCTGAAAATCGGTGTGGCAGTCTTTTGCCGTGTTGTCCAGGTGTTCACCGACTTTCAGGACAACCCAGCATCGGAGCAGCACGTGACAGCTGTCGAAATTACTGTTCCGTAGTCATGGTGCACTGTTGGCAGCATTTCCCTTGCCACCCTTTCATTGTTGTCATGCCAATGGTGCAGGGACAGAGAATGAGACAAGAAGTACAGGTGGTCAAGTGGGACTCTACCACCCTCCTTTTGAGAAGTGTGGTCTTCCTGGAAGCAGCTTGCAAGAGGGTGCAAGTGGGAAGACAAGCTGACTCATGGTTGGCTTGACTCACTATTGGTAGCCTTGAGTACAGCTCTGAACATCCAAGTGTGGTTGGCTTTGCTGACCTAGCTAGGACGTTTCCCATCCTTCTCTAGCCTTTCTCCCCTAGGACTCAAACTTCTCTGAGTTCCCAGGATGATCCCAACCCCTTAAGAGTCCCCTAGGCAATGTTGTACTCACCTCTTCCTTGCATCAATGAAGCTACTCGTTTTTCAGCCGAGCTTACGTTTTTGTTCACTGCGTAACGCATACACCTTTGATGAAAGCAAGCAATATACCGTTGGAAAGCAGACACCTGAATCTATATTCTCTCCAAGTTTCAGTCTCTTATGTTATCGGAGCTGATCGTGACGGCATTTTGAACAGAGGCGGTTCGAAGTCATCAGATTCTGCTTAGGCGGTTTCAAAGGCATCTGCGACCCCTAAGTGGACTCTAGACTATAACACCTTACTCCCTAGTTCCCAACTTCCCTGCGCTCCCGCCTTCCCTACTGCTAGGCCTGTCATGGCTACGGGCCTCGCCTCCCTACCCGTCGTGAACGAGCCGACGGTTCGACGCGGCCTCATCCTAATCACAGGCGGGATCGATGTCGAGGTGTTCGAAGACCAGTTGAATGCGCTTAGCGAGGCGCCGAAGGCGGAGCTCGATGAGACGATGATGAACGTGGGCGTTGTGTACGTTTCATGTCGAGCACTTTAGGTTTGACATGTTTACCTGCCGCTGACTGTGCCTTAGCTTTTCGTGCAGCCTGTTTTCAAGAGAGCTGCTGTCCGTCGAGCAGCTCGCCAAGCTGTCGATCGTGACTTCGACGCGTGCGCATGAAGAGATGGCGCGTCCCACACCGGTCGCTTTTGCGAACAACCACCTCGACGGCCTGCTTGGCAAGCAAGTGATTCTTGTTTACTGCGGACCACGTGAGTTCGACACTATCCCGTCGCCTTGCGTGCTCCGTGTTTAGTACTAAACCCGTGCTCACGTGCATTCGCTCTGCATGCAGCCTGACTGTGGCGCCGTTCTCCCACTCGAGCCTGTTTGTGGTATCGCACCCCGACGATCTGCTGGCTCCGAGGCACCATGGCTGTCGAACTCGAATGATGCACTTGGATTCGAAAGACAGGTTTCCCGCGGTGAACCACAATCTTCGCTGGTGCATGAAGTTCTCGTGTGAGTGACCGATTTGCCACCCTGCTGTCGACTTGCCGTTCTGGACAATCTCTTACTCTCCTGTCCATTGCTCTGCAGTTGGATGAAGAAGCAGCTTCGCGCCGAGTACGCGACGACCCAGCGGGTTGTGACCGAGCACGAGCAGGAGGTGCTTAGCCTCATTGACCTGTGTATGGACATGATCACGAGTTTCGATCATCTGGTAAGCCAACCCTTACCCTTACCCGTGCATGTTTTCGTCGAGCATGTTTGTTTTGTCGCTTACGTGTGGTTTATACCCGTCGCAGACGACGACGGCCCTGACGATCCCCAGTGAACCCGGCGCGGCAGCTCGTGTCGTGCATGGGGTGCGTTGGATTCTGTCGAACTGGGATAATTTCATCCTGCAGCCTCGACAGGGTGACCTCGTGATTCTCAGGAGAATGAGCCCTGGCCCAGGTTTGCTTCCGTCGTTCATGCTCAAACTGTTTTGGAAAAGGATGGACGAGGCGGCGGAGGGAGTAGGAGTGGGAGGGGGTGCCGGACACAAGGAAGGAGGCGAGGGGGTGCCACGCGTCGTGGTTGAGTACTGCTACGAGGAGGAGGAGGAGATCGAGGAGGATACATCGAGGCAAGCTCAGCACGGGGTGAGCGGCCCGGGCGGCAATGCGGACGAGCAGGAGGGCTCGAGCTCGGAATCGAGCTCCGGCTTGAGCTCGAGCGATGAGTCGATCGAGCATGACGGCGAGGGTTTAGGGTTACATCCAGGCTGGACGGAGCGTACGGAGAAGCACGGAGTGGCGCTCAGGGAGCGGGTGGACGAGCAGCAGGCGACGGGGGACGATTGGGATGTCAAAGAGCAGGAGGGCGGAGCGGCTGGGCAGGATTTTGGGACAGGAGTGCAGCAGCAGGAGGGCGGGGCGGCTGCGCAGGAGGGCGGGGCGGCTGCGCAGGAGGGTGGGGTCGGAGGGCAGCAGCAGGAGGGCATGGTGGCTGCGCAGGAGGGTGGAGCGGGAGGGCAGGAGCAGGAGGGCGGGGAGGCTGCGCAGGAGCGACTCGTCGCAGTAAGATGGAGACACCGCACAGCCAGTGGCAGCGGACAGGCGGGCCCTTCGACGGCAGGCCATTCGACGTCGGCCATTGCATCCAGAGACCAGGTCATCAAGCTACTGCGGAGGGTCGCGGAGGTCGAGGCGTCGCAGAAGAAGCTCGTCGCCGACGTATTTGCGAAGCACAGTGAGCAAGCCGCTGTTTTCAACAAGCTTGCTGGGGATTTTTGGACGGCCTCGAATATGATTTCAGAGTCGTCGAAGAGCACGCTGAAGCAGTGTAGCGATGCCGTAAAAGGTGTCACGGAGGAGAGGAAGCTGTTGGAAGGGGCACGCTCGAAGCTCGACGAGATGAGCGGGAAAATCATCGAGGGGGTGGCAGCCGCTATCACAAAAGCGAGCGAGGACGCCGTCGAGAAGCAGCTCAAGCTTGTCGAGGAGCAGCTGGTTGCTTCGGTCGTGAAGGGTATTGAGAAAGCCATCAAGGAGGACTTGTTCTACTCCACCCTCCCGCCCGAGAGCATGAAGGAGCTGAAGGACGTTGTGAGAGAAAGCTACCAAGAAGCTAAAGCTAGCAGATTGGAAGTCCTCACCGAAGCGATGGCGAGAGGGTTTCGGGGCTCGGCGGGCCCGTCGACGAGGTCGCGTCAGGAGGAGGGGGTGGCTGGTGTTCACAGCGGGGTTGAGCGTCGAGTTCATGAGCGCTCGGTTCCTCCTTGTTCTTCGGTGGAAGGACATGTCGGCAGCCCGGTAGCATCCCCACCGTCGCGTGCCCGTCAAACCGTCAGCAAGTCCGTCAAGGACAAGGATGTCATCGTACTCAACCAATCGCCCCATCAGCAGACCTCCGAAGCGGCACCGAAGCCTCCGCCTGATGCTTTTGCTCCGCTACGGGACATGCTGCAGGGCCTCGGGAAAAAGGGTGGGAAAGGAGTGGTTGTGGGGGAGAAAAGTGGTGCCCCAATCGGCCAGGTTGCCTCAGCCGGGAAAGGAGCCGTGGAAAGCGAGGTGCCCCTACCCCGTCCGGCGGCGCTGCGGGGAAAGGAGCGGGGGAGAAACGGGGTGATCCCAGCCAGGTCGCCGTCGCTGCTGGGTTGCTGTCGAAGACAAAGGCCGACTCAGCTGCGCAGCTCGGCATTGCTGGCCGTCCTGTCGAGCCTGTGGGAAAGGTCATCGTCCGTTTTAGGCGACGTCTCCCTTAGCGAACCGGGTTCCCCTCCTCCTGGTCCGAGGCCAAGGTCCCCTTCTGCGTCAAAGAAAACGCAGGCTGTGACAAAGTCGACGAAGCGGGCTGCAGAGGCAACAGAGAGCAGTGACGTCGAGAAGGCGTCTACCGTCGTTGCTGCTCGACACGAAAAGTCGAAAAAGCCCAAGGTGATCGGCTACGCCCCACCTCCTCTGCCGGACGACCAAGGCAAGACGAGAGGCTGCAAAGCTCCCTTCAAAGGACCGGGCATGATGTCGCGCAAGGGGAAGCCGGTTTCCGAGCAGACCGTAGGCTCGAGGAAGCGGTTCCTGGGCACTTTTGAAACGGAGGCGGACCAGAAGTTTTGTACGGCCATCTGCTGGCGCGTGTACTTCCCCGACATAGACCTCAAGGAGTACGAGGGGTTCACGGCGCAGGATGAGAAGGACTGGAAGGCCTATCTCGATGCAGCAGCGCGTATGCCCACCGGCGTTTGGAGCGTTGCGCAAGAACAAGGGGAATGTCGTTTCGACGAGTGATTTCTGTCGAAGTCCTGTAGTTTGACTATCGTAGCGGTTTTGTTCTTTCCGTCGAAGTGCTGTCGGATTTCCTGTCGAAGTCGTGCCGTCTGACTAACGCATTTGTTTTGATTTGCAGTTTCCGGTCGCTGCTGGCGACGACAAATACGGAAGTGAGAGCCGGAACCGACTGGGGAATTGCGCTGTGCGCGGCGATTGGGAATGTTGTGACGCTTGGCCGGAGGCACGGGAACGTGATTTATCTGGTCCCAAAGAACATGCACGGGACTGCGCACATGATGGCCGTCCTGTGAAGAAACAAGAATGAATGAGAGAAGAGAGGGGGTTCACTAGCAAACATTGGGATACATATAGCAAACCCTAAAAGGGCTGTACTCACTATAGAGTACCCCACTGCAGACTAGAGAAACATAATATTCTGACACACCCCCATAGTCAAAGTGGGGTGTAATCAGCACAACAAGCAAAGCTGAACAAGCTCAGGGTGGATCACAATGTCACCACACATTCTGAGCACAAGTACAAGAAGCAACAATTTATAGTTCACAAATGTAAGCAAAGCTAGAGGCTATCGCAGAGGGCAAGTGTGGAGGAGGAGGGACTATGAGAGGAGAGGAGGTAGTGGGCAGCAGCTGAAGCTGCTGGCACACGGCGCAACTGGAGCAACTGGCACACGGGCAACTGGAGCAACTGGCACACTGGCAACTGGAGCAACTGGCACACGGGCTACTGGAGTAACTGGCTCCGCGGCTAACTCTGAGCGGCAGGAGCAACGGACTCACGGGCGACTAGAGCAACTGGCTCACGGGCGACTGGCGCAACGGGCTCACGGGCGACTGGCGCAACGGTCTCACGGGCGACTGGAGCTGCGGGCTTCACGGCGGCCACCCCCCTTCAACCTCCCCAAACTATCCCACCCCCATTTCACACACCCCCTGCTGCACCCTAGGTTCACTCACACCCCACCCCCTAGCACCACTCCGTCGACTCCCACACACCCACCCCCCTCAGCGGCAGCTGCAGCAGTGGGAGACAGAGGAGGAAGAGGAGCAGGGGTGACCACACACCCGCCACCCCCTACTCGCCACCCCCAAACCCTAACACAGGGCAGGGCGGGATGGCGGGTAGGGAGGGTACGGGGGGGGGGGGGGGGCGACGCGCGGCCTCCCAGGGCGCCAGAACAGGCGGCAGAAGGGGCGACGCGCGGCCCCCCCCCCAGGTCGCCCGCGGCCCCCTCAGGTCGCCTCGACAGGCGACGGGAAAAGAGGGGGGGGGCGGTGCACGGGTCCCCGGTGCGCCGCGACAGGGTCGGGGCAGGGCCGGGGCAGGGCCGCGACAGGGCAGGGGCAGGGCCGCGACAGGGCCGCGGCGGGCGACGGGGCAGGGCCGCGACGGGGGGCCGCGACGGGGGGCCGCGATGGAGGGCCGCGACGGGGGGCCGCGACGGGGGGCCGCGACGGAGGGCCGCGACGGGGGGCCGCGACAGAAGGGCCGCGACGAAGGGCCGCGACGGGGGGCCGCGACGGGGGGCCGCGACGGGGCCGCTAAGGGGGGCCGCGACGAGGGGGGGCCGCGACAGGGGGCCGCGATGGGGGGCCGCGACGGGGGGCCGCGACAGGGCGACGGGGCAGGGCCGGGGCGAGGCCGTGACGGGGCCGCGACAGGGCCGCGACGGGGTCGCGAAGGGGCCACGAAGGGGCCACGAAGGGTCGCGGCGGGCAGCAGGGCAGAGCGCGAAACGCGCTAAGGGCAGGGGCAGGGCCGAAAAAAAAAGTTTAGCGAAGTGGTGGGCCCTAGGAAGAATCAGTCCCAGGAGGGAACCAGCTCTATACCATGTGAAGAAACAGGAATGAATGAGAGAAGAGAGGGGGTTCACTAGCAAACATTGGGATACATATAGCAAACCCTAAAAGGGCTGTACTCACTATAGAGTACCCCACTGCAGACTAGAGAAACATAATATTCTGACACGTCGCAGCAACTGTGGCAAGCTTGTGGGCGGCCTGCAGAAAGTTGTCGAGGGAAGACATTAAGAAGGATGCCCTAGCTGCCGCAAACGCAGCGCTCTACGCCCCGGAGATGGCGACACGGGCTAGTGCGGCTGCCATGGCTGCGCTGCTGTCCGTACTTTTGCACGTCGGCAAGACGTTCCCGGCCAAGCAGTGGCCTGATCTGCTATATTCGTCGGCTGTCGAAGGCCTCGGCTCGACTGATGCCACCCTGTTGTAGATGGTGCGCGTGGCAGCACAACTGTACTCAATGGTGCTGCTATCGATTTGCTGCCCGTTTGCTGGAGGACGCGGGCTATGGGAGCCTGGCTATGCCAGAATAAAAGAGCAAGGTGAAGCTGGGCGACGAGGAGACAACTGAGGCGGAAACAGGCGGGCAAGGGGAGTAGTATAGGTGGGCGCATTGCGTGGGGGTTTTTGCATCATTCGACAGATGTGTTTGTTGCTTGGATAGGTTGATCGACAGATGTTCCTTGAATTTATGTTTTCGAGAATTCTCAATTGGTTCATCTTGTCGAGATGGTGTCACAACATGCATTAGGGGAAGATGCCATGTAAACCCTGAACAACCTACACTAGGGTCCCTCCTCGTCACGGTTGCTCGTCGAAATAGGCCGTGCGCCAGTTGTTGCGTTGAACTCTTTCCATTTCTCCTTGCCGAACACCTTCTCCGCCCATTCTGCGGTTCGGAGCTCGACACGAATGAGCTCCAGAGTGATTATGAGGCGTTGTTTGTCGTTCCGGTTTTCCTCTGCGGACTCAAGTTTGCGCTTTTTCGTGAGCTGCCTCCCAGAATCCTCCTTGAGAATAATGCCCTCCGAAAGCATGTTGATCGAGTGGCCCTTCACAATTGAGTCCAGCTTTTCGATGACCGTCGACGTAGCCGCGCTGCTGTCGTCGATCCGGAAATGCTCGACGGCCTTCATGACAGCCTCCATTTTCTGCATTTTCGTCTCGATAGCTTTTGCGGTTGGTGGATTTTCTTTTGGATGGGCCTCCTTTTCCGGGGTTACGGGGGGTGGAGTCGGTGTGAACTTGCAGAACTTGACGGCGAAGCCCCTCTTGTAAGCCTGTCGAAGACTATGCGCGTTGTTCAGTGGGCTTGCCCCATCCCAGTACGACCACGCCTTCCGCACGGTCTCGCAATTGCACCACGGCCACACCACCGCGTCGAAGAACGCCTAGTCGAGCTGGCTGCCCACGCTCTGTCGAGAGGGCATTGCTTGTTGGGCTTGCTGTGGATCCGGGGTGGCTTCCTCGGTCGCCGTCTGCGGCACGCTCTCGCTCCCCCCCACATTTGCAGCTGCGCTTGTCGTTGCGGTATTCTTCAATGCGTCGAACGCTTTATGTAGTTGCGCAAACGCCTCTGTCTTCGCCTCCAACTCAGCTTTCATCGAGCTCTTCTCCCGCTCCAATGACTCGACCTGCTTCTCGAGGTGGTTGATCTGGATTTCCTTTTTCCCTCCCTCCTCCTTGTGGAGGTTTATCTCGGCCCGAAGTTGCGTGACGAGGTGCTTGGTGTTGAGGTGAGAGGATACGTCCTGCACGCAAGAACACGTGCAGTCAGTGGGCTGATGCAAAGTTGTAGCTTATAGTTTTGGAAGGACCATCTTACCGTCGCTCTCGACATCGTGGGGTTGGTCCGCATCTCGATGCCGTACTTGTCGAGCGTGTACACGTCGAGCGCCCATTTTTTGAAATCTTGGTCCTTGCACAAACCCGACATCTGGACACAAGGGTGACGCTTGCAGTCACAAACGCTCATCCCGTCGAAGGGGTGGTCCTCACAATGGACGTAGTACATCGCAAGATCCTTTGCGATGGGCATTCGGGCGGCTATCAGGGCCTCCAAGAAACTCTTCGCTGCGTAGTACATGTAAGAATGTGAGCGAATGAATGACTGAACTAGAAAGCAGGTGGGTACAAGTAGGAAACCTAAAAGTGTTGTACCCTATAAGGACTACCCCACTACAGCCTAAACAGACTATAGCATATAAGTTTGACACACCCCCATAGGCAAAGTGGGGGAGAACAAGAGGTCACAAGACCAGTCAAGAAAGGCAAAGCAAGCTCAGGGTGGATCACAAAGTCACCACACAGTCTGAGCACAAGCAAATGGCCACAAGGCCAGTTCACATGCAGAGTTATATAAAGGAAAAACAAACAATACATTGAAACACAACCTAGCAAGAGTAAGCATGCAGGTATATGTATAAAGAGTACAGCACAAGCAGAGTCAAGAAGTAAGCAAGTGAGGCACAGTAGGTACAAGACCTAACACAGTACAGAAACGCTGATGATCACAAGGCTGAAGTGCCTTGGTGAAAACATCAGCAGTGTTGGCCTGAGAGGCCACGTAAGCAAGACGAAGCTGGCCACGCTGCTGCAACTCTCGAGCAAGGAAGTAGCGCAGAGCAATGTGCTTCGTTCTGTGCTCCAGTCTGTGCTCCTGACACAAGGCCAGCATGGCCTTGTTGTCGACGTACAGAACTGGAGGAGAACGAGGCGCCTCTCCCAAGTCGGTCAGCAGGTAGGTAAGCCAGCGTAGCTCCTGTGCAGCCATGGCCCCAGCGTAGATCTCAGCCTCACAACTGGAGCTGAGAACAGAAGAAGAGCTGGTAGACCGCCAAGAGACAGAACCGGAGCCAAGACTGAAGGTGTAACCCTGTGATGACCGCTGCGTAGCCAAGTCGTCAACCCAGGAGGCGTCAGCGTAACCAGTGAGGACAACTCGAGCCCGTCCTCCAAGCACGAGCCCCATGCCCGATGTACTGCACAAGTAGCGTAACACCCTCTTCGCAGCATCCCAGTGCACCTTTCGGTGCCTGCCGGGAGCCACGTAGCGAGCCAGAAGGCTGAGAGGGTATGCGAGGTCAGGTGGTGTGCAAGTCATCAGGTACATGAGGCAGCCCACAAGCTCTGGATACGGGCCACTCGGCTCTACGGACTCGTCCGAAGGTGGAGCTGAGAGCGAGTGACCGGTAGGCAGAG